CCCCCTCCCCCTCCCCCATCTAATCTCCACTTTGGAAATGAGAAAGGTGAGGCTCAGAGTAACTCATCCAAGGCCACAATGTACATAAAAGATGCAGTTTCCATGAAGGTCTGATTTTCAAAACCTCATTCTGTCTCCAAAGCCCCAAGCCCAGATAAAGTTCATTTTAAAAGCATTCATCTGCTTCATATAAATGACACCAAAAGAGAACATTTCTTAAGACAAAAACAAAGACAGTTTACCTAGACACTAACCTGAGAATTTCACCATTATGAGCCCAAAACCAGAGTTTGCAATACACGCCTCCTATTTGATATAAGTATTTTTTAAAGGGAGGCTTTTTGTTCTAAATGAAAAATTCATTTCCTTCTAGCCTTTGATTTTCTTTTATATACTAGGGTGATCAGACTATAGTCATTATAATAAGTAAAACAGGTTTACTGTATTGCTGCTTTATTCCATCTACAAAAAAATGTTTTGTCTCTTGAATGTGTCAGTCAAACTTAGGTACAATGGGAATGGCATTTCAGTAAAAATGCTACTAACCAAGATTCATAAGGTTTGAGTTCTAACTCTGCCTTTTCCATGAAGTATCAAGTTCTTCTTGACCCTTGATAGTCTCATCTATAAATAAATGTAATCACACTTAGCAAATATATTAATATTTTTAAATTATTTCCATAGCCAAGAAATATTTCATATCTCATTTAAAACTTGTAGCCAGGCTGGAGAAATAGTTTTTACCAATATTTTTGCTGAAGTAGAAATAGGCCTACAGGTTTTAAATAATTTGTTCTAGGTCATTATGACTGCCAAAGAAGAATGGAAATTCAAGCCTAAGTCATTTATTTAGGGTGCCAGTTAACATAAACAGAATTCCATTTATATCATATAATGTCCACATAAGTCACGCAATTTGTTTGACTTCATCAATTAATACTCTTTCTCAATTATATATTTTAAATATATAAGGAAGTATATGAGTTAGAACCATCTTCCCTCATGTCACCAACTATATCAGTCCAAAGAGGGAGGGTATAACCTACTGTGGATAAGGCAAAGTCAAAGACATAAAAATAAATAAAACATCATGTGCAAAAAAACTTATAAACTAGAATGAGCAATCAAATGTTTTCATGGAATTTTTAAATTTTCATGATATAGAGAAAGGGATATGTTTAGGGCATCCTAAGCAGACCCAAACAGCAGGCAGACAACAGAGCCCTGGCGGCCTGCTGGGAACCACGGAATCCCAGACTTCCACCCTGGAAGGAGCCAAGAATTCCAGAAATGTGAAATTTCATTGGAAATCCATGATTATTCAAGTGTTGACAACCAATTTAAAATAAAACATAGGGAGAATTTTAAAGACTCAATTAAGAAATGGGCATCTGAAAAATGAATACACATTTCTCAGATGAAGAAGTAAGTACAAATGGCCAATAAATACTTGAAAAAATGTTCACCATCACTGGCCATTCAAGAGATGCAGATGAAAACAACACTGAGATTCCATCTCACTCCAGAAGGAATGGCTGGTATCAAGAAATCAACCAATAACAAATACTGGTGAAACTGCAGGGGTGTGGGGCAGGAGGGACACCCCTTCTACATTGTTGGTGGGAATGTAAATTGGTATAGCCACTATGGAATCAGTATGGAGATTCTCAAAAAACTAAAATTAGAGGTTCCATTTGAGGCAGCTATTCTCCTTCTGGGTATCTTGCTGAGTTAAATATACCATACCACAGTGATGTATGCATACTCATGTTCATAGCAACACAACTGGTAATAGTTAAATGGTGAAAACAGCCTATGTGTCCATCAGCAGATGGACATGTATGACCATCAGCGGATGAATGGATTAAAAATGTGAAGTTCTACTCTGCCATAAAGAAGGACAAACTGGAGTCATCTGTAGGAAAATGGGTGCACTTTGAGAGCACAATGTTAAGTGACATACACCGGAGACACGAGCTTAATATCACATGGTTTCTCTTATATGTGAAACCCCATATATATATAAAGTGCAAAATAAAAGACAATAGGGGAAAAAATGCAATCGTCATATACTGCCAACATGTACTAAAAAAAAAATTAAAAATTTTTAAATAAAATAAAACACGGGGAGAAGAGAACAGAAATTTTCCCACACAACCAGGCCTCGGCCTGAGCACTGTTCTGAATGGGCAGCAGCTATGTCCACGGTAACTTCCCGTTCTCCCCGCCCTGTGGTGTCTAGTGAGATACTTAAAAGTAAGTGGGGTTAAAATATTTAGCATTAGTAAAGCTAGCAAAGGAATAAACACTATCACATCTACTGTGTATCAGTCCTCTTCTAAAGGCTTTCATGGATTAATCAATTTCAAAACAACCCCTTGAAATAAATGTTACCATGTCTGTTTTAGAGATGAGGAAAACCAAGACAAAGAGACTAGTGCAAAATCTCATACCTAGTGGCGACAGAATCTGAATCCAGCCAGATGGCCCCAGAGCCCTGTGGGCCGAGCACGTGAGCCACCCCAGGGACACTGGGAAAGGCTGCTGCCCACTGCGCATGCGCACCAAAAACCAAATGCCCCTGGGCCGCCAGCCTCAGCGGCTAGGGCAATGGAGAAACGGCGGCCAGGCGGGACCCTGGAGCGGTCTGCGGTCTGTGTGGCTCTGTGTGTCTGCCCTCTGTGGAAGGGGAGGAAAGGCTCTTGTCCTGGTTCAGCCTCAGTCTGCTTACCCAACCGTTGCGGGGCCCAGTCAGAGCCGACAGGAGAGCCTTGCGCTTAGGCCGCACCGCGCTGTCGCGGCCAGTCCAGCTCCTTCCAGGCCTCGCTGCACCTGCAGGACGCCAGGCTGCCCACCGCCCAGGGGCCTGTCCCGAGCCCTGAGCCTCCCTCCGAGACAGTGAGCCAGTGAGTACGCCCATCTCTTTGAGGGGTTCTCTGTGGTCTCGGGTCTCGGGCACAGCGGGGTAAAGCCAGCGCTACACACAACCCGAGTTCTCAGGAGGGCAGTAGGACCGGCACGGTCTCGGTCTTGTTTGGCCCCTACCACAATGCTGTCGTTAGCTGTCTTGTTTTCTTTTTTATTGCTGTTGTTTGCAATACATCATAATTTCATTCATCTTGGCACATATGTATATTGCATATTAATCGTTTTTATTCCGCTTCCCCTCCTTTCCTCCCCCTCTCCTAATTCCCTTCCCATACAGTAATGCTGTAATCCAACAGGTGGAATATTTTATAAATTGAGGTCTTTAGATAGCAGGACAACTAAAAAGCCAAGCTTAAAACAAAGGGGAACATTTGAGGTGAGTATAGAAAGTGTGAAATAAGTCAAGTTGGAAGAACCGTGAATATAAGCACAAATAAATAATTTTATGTTGATCAGATGACAAAAATATGCAAATCTGCTTCGTGTTCAGTTAGACAACCTCAAAATTCTCTCACAACCAGTTGGTTTGATCTCTTTTGATATTTCCATCCTAGCAGTTTTTCTCACTTCAGAAATGTGCTACCGTTCCATCCAATGGCTCTTTTGCCTCACACAGTGGAGCAGCCATAAAGAATATTTCCTGATACATTTTCATAACTCACATTTTCTCATCATAGTGTTTCTTTTGAAATTTGTTTATATGACTTAATATAAGTCCGTCATTTTGCATTTCAATGCTCGCTTGATCAAATTAATTAAGAGCCCTAACCTAAAGGAATTCTGTCAAGCATTAAGCTTGCACTCTAATTTGACCTAATAAGTTTCCTTTCAATGTAGTAATACGTGTTATTCAGATTCTAAATATCACTGCTTTTATTCATTTACTTTTAATTTTCTCTAACAGTTGCTTTTTTAATGTCTATATTTTAAAACCCTTTGTTTTGACCTCTGTATTATAGCTGTAGTTTAAGGTATAATTATTAATGCATTTACCAAACATGCTAATTTTGTTCATAATGGGAGTGCATGAAAAAATAAACAAGTGAAAAGAGTGTCATCAAGTTTTAACCTGTTAGAAATAATGGAAAATGGGATCAATAATAGTAAATTTATAAGCCTTTGGTAAAGAGGAAAGATTATACTTTCAGCTACTTTAGTGTATTATTCAAAGAAAAAGGGAGGAAAATGTATTGAAAATATTTAGAGAAGAACTGTTTGAAAGAGCACATCACAAACTTCAACTAATCTAAGAAATAGCCATGCCATCAGCCTGGTATTCCTACCTCTGGCAACTTGGTCTAACAAAGCAAAGCATGTAAAGTCGTGAATGTCTAGCCACCTTAGTTACAACAGTGAAAACTTGAAATCAGCCTAGAGTAAAGGAGGAATAGTTAAATACATTGTAGTGATTCTTTTCAGTGGGTTCACCACCTTAAAATAAGTGTTCCTGTTTCCCACCTACTGTCATGTGGCCTGCCACAACCTTTTCCTGTTTCCCAGTGTCCTGTTAGCATTTCTTACCCTACACACTACTGCCATGACACTTCTCTGTATCGAAAACTTGGCATTGTTATTTCCCTGCTAAGGCTATCTTCACAATTCTTCATCATCTTTACGAAAACTCAGATTAGTATTCCAAGAGGCCCTGCATAATCGAGCCTGCCCAATTCTTCCCAGCCTCTACCTACAGTCATTTTTGCACACAAACTTTATCTCCATCTACCAAGACTAGTTCTATCATTCCTGGGGTCACGTTTTCATCTGACTCCTACTGATCAGTCATTTGGCATGCCACAGTGAGATTGTTATCTACTCTTCCCATCACAACTAAATATTAACTGCAGGGTGGTTTGCTAGAGCTGCCACAAAGATGATTAATATTCTTATTCAGGGAGAAGAGGGTGCAAAGGTTAATGTTTAGACTTTCTTCCTTTTTAAATACTTGCTTTCATTGACAAGTGGAAACTGTATGTGTTTGTCATGTACAACACGATGTTTTGATACATATCTACGCTGAATAATGGTTAAATTAGGCTCTTTAACACACATTCATTTTCTTTTGTGGTGAGACTGAAAATCTACTCTCTGAGCAATTTTTAAGTGTACAATTATTTTGATTGATTGTAGCCAGTATGATGTACAATAGATCTCTTGAACTTATTTCTCCTAACTGAAATTTGGGAAATTTTTTAAATAATTAATTTTATTGGTACACTTTTGATGTACATAATGCTCACCTTCATCATAGGAAATTCTAACTGAAATTTTGTATCCTTCAACCGACATCTCCCAAATCTCTTTATCCTCCACCTTGTAGTAGCCACAATTTTACTCTCCCCTTCTCTTAGTCCAGCCTTTTACTCTCCATATATAAGTGAAATCATGTTGTATTAGTCTTCCTAGACCCAGCTGCTGTCACTTAACCAAATGTTTCCCAAGTTTGTCTGTGTTGTCACAAATGATAAACTTTTCTTCCTTTACAAGGCTAAATAATATCCCATTGTGTACATGTACCACATTTTCTTTGTTTTTTAAATTTATTTATTCCAGTGTTGAGAATTGAACCTAGAGTCTCTCACATGCCAGGCAAGAGCTCTGCTATGGAGCTACATGCCCAGCCCTGTACCACATTTTCTTTATCCATGATCCATCAGTGAACATTTAGGTAGATGCCATATCATGGTTATTGTGAATAATACTGAACAAACATAGCAGCGCAGATGTCTTTTTGACATACTGATTTCCTATCTTCAAATATATACCCAACAGTAGGACTGCTATATTATATAGTAATTCCATTTTTAATAAATGGTTTTCTTCAGTGAAAGTAGCTTTCTTAATAAATTTTGTGACTTGTTCAAATAACTCAAAATTATTCTCTTCTTCATTATAATTGATAAAACTGTATCATTTCCCTTTAAAGTTCTCCCCTTGTGCTTTGTTAAATAACTTTCATTATCACTGAAGTAGCTTTCTTCCATCTACATACTCATTTCTCCAAATCAAAAGGCCATGATTAACTTAGCCCAGGCATTGTGATTTCTTAAGTACCAAGAATGTATTTAGTGCTCCTTACATAATTAAGAACCACTGAAGCTAGGTAAAGATACTACACACAGAGAAACTACTTACGTTTCTTCCACCCAATTGGGCAATCTAGGGTAGAGATTACAATACATTAGTCTGAACCAAGATAATGACTGTGTGGATCAGAAAACACATGTATACTTCAAACCATATTTGGGAGGTAGATTTGACCATTTGGTTATTGGATATAGGAAGTGAAGGAAACAAAGATCAAAGATGACAGGTTTCTGACCTGGAAGCCCAGAAAGAAGAAGAAACTGGAGAGGGAAGAGGCTGGGTTCCATTTTGGGCATATGGAGTGGATAGGGACTGCATCATCTGGAGGCTTCTGAAAGACAAAATGGAAGGAAAAAGCACACAACCCTGGCAGTAGCTGGAATCACTGAGGAAAAGTAGGTAAATAAGAGGGCTTAGATAAAACTGAGAACCCCATTTAACAGGTAAACTCAGGAATCCCAGGAAGTAGTCAGAATAAATGACAGAATGTGAAAGGTAAAGCTGCAACTAAGTGGATTCACTTACAACAAGTGATTAAAAACTGCACCAACAGAAAGGAGCAAAAGGAAGCAAAGAAGGAAGGGATGATGGAGACAATGCCACAGGAGGGGGCCACAGAGCTTCCAGAGAAGTGCACACTCCCTTTAGGTAGCAAGGGTTTACACATGTCTAAATGCTTAATGAAAGGGATCCACGATGATTGTATTGAAGAGAGGAAGAAAGGATAAAGTGAGGACCTAAAAGGAAAGAAAGGATGGCAACTAGAGTTAAAGAGATTAATAAATCTTCCTATAAGGCAAAGGAAAGAGGACAGAATGTTAGAAAGTGAAGTTTCCTGGACTACATGCTTGTATCCCCTACAATTCATATGCTAAACCCGTAAGTCCCAACGGGATAATATTAGGGGTTAGTCCTTTGGGGATGATTATGTCATGAGGGTGGAGACATCAGTGCAGGAAGCATGGTTTTATAAGAAGAGACAGGAGGAGGTGGTGACTGCTGCCTGCCGTGAAAGAATGAGAACATGCTCATCTGCAAACCAGGAAGCAGATCTTCACCAGACACCAGATGGACCAACACCTTGGCCTTGAAGTCTTCAGCTTCCCGAACAGTGAAAAATAAATGGCCTGTGGCAATTTGTTGTGGCTGTTCCAACTAACTAATGCAAGGCAGAGGAGGAAGTGGTGAAAATGCAGAATAGGAGAATGAGAAGGAGAAAAAGGAAAGAAAAAGAGAGAGAATTTCTAACATTTAATGGTTGTTTTTCAGATGAGATAAATGAGCCTCAGAAATACTAAGTTCAGCCGGTTGTGGTGCTGCATACCTAGTATCTTAGCATCCAGGAAGCTAGGGCAGGAGGATTGCAACTTTAAGGCCAGCCTCCATTACACAGCAATATCAGGAAGGGAAGGAGGGAAGGAGAGAAAAAAAAATTAAGTTCAATCAGTAAATGAGTGGCAGAATCTGAATTTAAATTTAATTGTAAACTTTAGATCTCCTATCCATTAAGGTAGATAGTTGTGGACCTTCTGACTTTCTCTTTAAGGGAGAAGGTGTTCAGATGGAGTAGGGATATCAGAGACTAACAGTTTAAGGAGAATGCAAGTGATTTGACAGATATAGCACAGAATGAGACAATTGACTCAGGAAACAGAAATGTGGTGGGCACAGAAAGAATTAGAGATTTTAAAGTTGCTGCGGCACCAACCTGCATGGATGAATTTCCTCCTACAAAGCTCAGCTGGAGATGTGAAAAGACAGAGCTTTAAGGTTTTATGCAGGCACAGACTCGGAAGGATCATGCCAAAATAAGTTTAAGATACTAGCAAGAGAGAGGCCAAAATAATGGTGTAGGGAATCCAAGAGAGATGGGACAGGAAGTGGAAAGAAGGGC